CACTCCCTCCTGCCCCGGGGCCCTGAGCTGCAGTAGCTGCACGAAACCCCTTGTCTTGTCTTCCCATGGCTGCGAGGAGCACGGGGCAGAGCTGCCCTCCCCGCGCAGGGCTGGACTCGGAGCCCGTGGCAATCCCCGTGCATCGACCTAATGGATCAGACTCGAGCGGTGTCATTTTAAAGTGCCCCCTATTTCCTGGAGAAGAACCTAGCTGTGATCTATTACCTGCAGGTTTTTCTTCTCCAGCTTCTTGCAGCCTCTCCTCATCGCTCCCTGCCATCTCCACCTCCTTCTCCTTGCCATCCCTGCACGAGGTGCACACGGCGATGGTGTCTGCTATGTGCCATGCTCCATTTCCCCAGCAGCCACATCCCACGCCCCCAGGACTAATGTCCCCACCTTGATGGCCACAAGCTGATTGCTGCATAGCCCTGAAAAGTGCTTTTTTGGGGTGATGTGCATCAGCTCTGCACAGGGGAACACACGTCCTGCAGAGCCATGCTTTGGGGACATCAGTAGTGGCTGCTGGAGAAGTGTGTGAACAACTGATTGGTGACCGGATCACCCTTTTTATTGTTTTTATTTTTTGAATAAAATGACTTTATAGAATCATAGAATCCCAGACTGGTTTGGATTGGAAGGGACCTTAAAGCTCATCCAGTCCCAACCCCCCTGCCAGCAGCAGGGACACCTTCCACTAGACCAGGTTGCTCAAAGCCTCATCCAACCTGGCCAAGAACACTTCCAGGGAGGAGCAGCCACAGCTTCTCTGGCCAACCTGGGACACTGTCTCACCACCCTCACACCAAAGAATTTCTTCCTCACATCTCATCTCCATCTCCCCTCTGCCACTTTCAAGCCATCACCCCTCATCCTACCACTCCTTGCCCTTGAAATATGTCCCTCGCCAGCTCTTCTCTCCTCCCCTGTAAATCTCTCCTATGCCACCAAGGGTGAAAGCTGCACAGAAAGGTCCTGTGGTCCCTTGGTCTGTGCCACCAGCTCTTTGCCACCTGTCAGCGTTTGTGCTGCAGCAAAATGCGCAGCAGGAGAAGCTCTACAGGTAAAACCATAAGTGATTGAATCAGCCGCGGGGGCTCGGACCTGCCCGCGGCACAGACGATGTGATGGGTTTGTTTAACAAGCGCTTTGGCCTCATCTGCACCGAGTTTGGGAGAATTAAAGTGTTTTCTTTGGGCTCTGGCCAGAAGGCTGCTGGATGGTGCCAAGAAATAAAAGTATCTGAAGCTTCTCCTGGGAAAGCTCTCAAGGTTGCAACTACCAGGTGGAAAACCAGGAGGAGAAACCTTCCCAGCTGCCTGGACATGACCCCCAAATCCACCCCCTGACGCTCTCAGGTCAGGTCTAGGGAGAGGGGTGGAGATGGGGCTTCTGTGAAGCAGCTCCTGGGGCACCAGGAGGGAACTGACCCAGGAACATCACTGTGGGACACAAACACACACACAGGGGTGAATGACTAGAAAATAATTTATTGAAGAAACAGAAAGCTGCAGAAATACAACACGGTCATGACCAGTAGAGGATGAACAAATAGACATTAATTTTTATATTTTTTTTTTCCCCTCTTTTAAAACCTGTTGACAGGCTGGAGTTAAGTTTCCTTGGAACTTCCCCTGCGTGAGTCATTGCAAAGAAGGAGGAACAAACTCCAGAGCACACAGCACAGTTTGGATAAAGTGCCTGACACATAAGACTCTCTTAATTTTTTTTTCTTTTTTTTTTTTTTTAACCGTTTGTAAATAGCTTAAACAAATATAATTGCAAGACACAGAGGAGTAACAATTGCATTTCGCTGTAGAGTAAAACCTATCTCATGAGAGGAACAATGAAGCAGCAGCAAATAAAATAAAATAAAATAAAATAACATAACATAAAATAAAAAAATAAAATAAAATCACATAAAATAAAATAAAATAACATAAAATAAAATATAAAATGAAATTCAATTTAATTAGAAGGAAAAAAAGTCATTTAAAAACTGAAGAGTCGTGGCCCTTGGACCGTGCGGGATGAGAGCGAGCGTCACCTATTGCTACGCAGAAAAATGAGCAATGCTTTCCGGAGGTGGCTGGGTTGGCAAACCCGAGGCTGTGGGTTCTTCCTGGCCAGGATTATATAAAAAATTCTGGTTTTAAATTTGTAATTTAAGGGGAAAAACCAAACCAAACCAAACCAAACCAAACCAAACCAAACCAAACTAAACCAAACCAAGCCAAACCAAACCAAACCAAACTAAACCAAACCAAACCAAACCAAACCAAACCAAACCAAACCAAACTAAACCAAACCAAGCCAAACCAAACCAAACCAAACCAAACCAAGCCAAACCAAACCAAACCAAACCAAACCAAACCAAACCAAACCAAACCAAACCAAACCAAACCAAACCAAACCAAACGAAAAAACCCCAAACCAAACCAAAAAAGCTTGAATTTTGTTCTTTGCATTTTTAATTTCCTCTCTTTAAAAACCCCAAAGAAAGACCAAAGAAGAAGCGGATTCTGCACAGCAGCCTCTGCAGGTCCAGCCCCATCCCCTCGGCTGCGGGTGTCCTCTGAGACAAGGGAAAAGGAGTCCATTTAATGCCAGGGACATCCAGTGGTGATGAGTTGGTAGCCAACCCAGGCCAGTGGCATCTTCTCAGTGCCCAAAGCTGGTTGGGGAGAGAGATAACAAGGAGCTGATCATCTTCCCCACCAAGACTCGGGATGCTCAGGGAAGGGGACAAGTGGTGATATTTTTTGCAAAGCCATTTCTCGTCATGGCCAAATGCTCCTGGTCCACCCTGTGCCAATGTCCCACCAGTGGAGACATCGTTAGAGTAGGAAAAGCTCAGCTCTTAGTGGGGTGACAATGACTAAAACCCAGCTGGGCATCCCACACTCCTCCTGCTCACCTGGTGGGACGGGGACAGTGCTGCTCCGCTCCCAGTGGTGAGTTTTCAAGGCATCGGTACAAAACTTCCACCCAAGGTAGAACTGGACTCCTGGGGAGCATCACGGGGAATGAAATGACCCAAATGCTTGAAAACTTCCACAAGTGAAGTAGGACATTGTGGCCAGGCTGAACCAGCAGGTCTCAGTGGGAGGAGATCTCAGGTTCCCTCCTCTTCCTCACCCTCTGACCACCTCACCCATCTGTTCTCCATCGCCCTCGAAGGTGCCTCTGTGGCCCCAGTTTTGCTCCTGCTCCCCACAGCACAAAAATGTCCTTTGGGGGCAACCCTGGTGGAGAGAATTGTCTTTAGGACAGAGCTCGGATTGTCATTACCTGCAGGAAAAAAAAATCTTTGGTATCGTGGCAAGTTGCTCCTCAAGGCATTTTTGGTTGATGTGGGCAGCAGACATGGCCAGATTCAGTGTGGGGCAAGGCTCAGCCCAGCTGTGGTTGATCCAGCAGGTCCTGGTGGACTAAAGGACAGGAGAGAGTGCTCAGATTTTGGCTTCTCTGGGGTTTCTGAAGCCACTTGGTTCATGACCCGTGATGGAAGCCAGCTGGTCTCTGTCTCTCTTGTGACTGTCTTGCATCCAAGCCTGGTGAGACCTTCTTGTGGTTGGAGATGAGGTCTCGGCCTCCAAGCACCAAAGCATCTCATGCTGGAAAAGGTCTCTTAGGAGGACATGGGACATGGCAGGGGATGCAGAGCTCCTCAAAGAACAGGAGAGTTGGTTACTAGATGAATGGTGCTGCTGGAATAAACATGACCTCTTCCTAAGCGCCAGGTCCTCGGTCAGTGGGTCCCATGTCTCCCACCACCACCTGGTACTGAGCTGGCCATGAAGAAGTCAAAGGTTGCAGGGACACAGCATTAGACAGAAGACACAGATTAAAAAACCTGACTTTGCTTTTGGGGACCACTTTGGTGAGGCCTGAAGAAGCTGAAATCTCTTTCCTCACATTGGGTTGGGTTGGGGTCACCTCTAGTGACAGAGGGGAAGGATGGAGTGGTGAAGGGGCTGGAGAGGGCTGAGGAATTGGCATTTTAAGGTAAATCACAGAATGGCTGGGGTTGGAAGGGACCTCTGGAGATCATCCTATCCAACCTGCCAAAGCAGGGTCATCTAGAGCAGGATGGTATCCAGGCGGGTTTTTAATATCGCCAGAGATGGAGACTCCACACCCTCTCTGGGCAGCCTGTCCCAGGGCTCCGGCACCCTCACAGTGAAGAAATTTTTCCTCATTAAGTGCTCTGGTAACGTTGGGGAAGCAGAAAGGGGTAGGTACCACTGCCTCCTCTGGGCTCCCATCACCTTCCTGATGACCTTCGAAGATGTGACTCCTTACTGCTACTCTCCTTCCATCTTTAAGCAAGGAGAGGAGGAGGAGGAGCAGCGGATGAAGGAGCAGGGGATGTAGCCCCGTTCAGGGGGGTCTCTCTGGACATTTGCAGAAAGCTCCCTGGCTGTCTGAGGCAGGAAGGTAGACCTCCCAAAGTTCCCTGAGACCTGCCGGTGGACTGAGGTCCTCCAGGACCTCTTC